CCCCAAACTCATATGTGCTACGACGTATTGAGTCGTTGCTGGTCAGGGTTGCTAGCTGTTTCTTGAGCTCATCAAGTTCAGCAGGGGACATCTTGTAGACCTGGCCCTTGGGAGGGACCGTGCCAGGCAGGAGCTCGATTTTATGCTTGGTCTGCCTGTGGGCAAGTCCAGTAGGCTCTTGCATAAGGTCTGAGAACCGGTCAACCACTTGCTGAATTTGAGAGGGACAAGGGGCAGTCTCCACATTGGTCTGTTTAACATGAGCTACAAATAGACGAGTGTGGTCAGTCTGGCGCGAAAACTGATAAAACTCATGGGCACACATACAATAACAGTTGCTGATCGAGTCGTACTCATCAACAATCATACAAGGTTGGTATTCCCCTCGCCGATCAGGCAACTCAACCCTAGGGATCCGCCAGTTGATCCTGGGGTTGGTGGCCTGAAGCCACTGCAGTGAGAAGACAAGGTCAAAGGGTAAAATAGGAAACACATAAAAATCCAGGCGCTGCCCGATTTCTCCCTGCCTGTCAAAGGTTACAGGTAAACCTTTGTCTGCAGTCGTGATCCTGACTCTAGATGAGTCACCTATGCGAACCTCAATCGGCTACTGCAACTTAACCAGTCTCTAATCCAAGTGCAGTCTGTTGACTGTCTTGGGAGACATAGCCCCACAATCCAACAACCCTTTGAACCTGGCTCCTAGGATGGAGAGTCAACCCAGGATGAGATCCTGTCTGTGCTTTTTCTTCTCCTGCAAGGACAGGAAAAAATCAGCAAGGACCTGCAATTCATCCTCTCCCACGTTTCATCCAGATCAATGGTCCTCATAAGTGAAGGATCCTGATGCTGCAACTCCAAGAAAAATGTCAGCTAGAGAGGGTGAAGACCCACTTTCATCAGAAGAATCAACACAGGTGTAAGGAGTTGCTTTTTCCAGCTTTCTCCGCTCTAGTTATTTGAACTAGAGCTCGAGGGCATGCGAGGCATGTGGGGACAGTCCTTCAGATAATGATTTCCCTCGCACCTCAGGCAGACTACCTTGTCCTTCCTCTTCCTCCATACTCCCTCTTGGATCCTAAGTGCATGCCAGGGGAAGGTGGAGGGCAAAAACAACTGAATCTGTAGCAGAAGACGAAGGAGTTTCAGATGGAGGGCTCCCACTCTGAGAAACTACCTCATCTTATGAACTTGAGGCTGCAGCAAAGAGAGCACCCTTCCTCTCTTCTGCCTTTTGAGGAAGGTCTCTTCCTTCCTTCAGAAGGGGTTTCCTGAACATGGAGTTTGGACTCCAAGTCCAGGGCTGCTCTGCCAAAGGACCACCATTCCCTATGGCCCTCAATGCAAGCTGGTATTCTCCAGGCGCTGCTCTCAGGAAGTGAATGAGCTGATCCTACTCACTCATCTCCAACCCAGGAGTCGAAGTCAGACTGGAGTACAGTTTGGATAAGGAGCCGTCCCATTTTTTTTGGCCCAGACGGACAATCTTGTCTGTTGCTTTCGTGGCCTGCTCCTTGTTTGCAAACCGATCATTTAGTCCCTGCAGAAAATCGGCCACCCCCAGTTTTTGCGCCCACTCAGACATCTCCAATCCCTGCTTGTCAGAGGTGGAGGTGCACCATTTCAGTCCAGTCCTCTTCAGACGAGCAAGGATTTCGCTCACCTTCACATCCTCGTCACGTTTGAACCCACTCACATAGGTTCTTTGTGCAGTAACCCAATCTGCAACATCCACCTTGGGGTCCTCCCTAGAGAACATGGGTGGAGGTGTCAACTTGGGCCACTATAGATCAAACAAACTTCAAGGTTGTGAGGCGGCTGTTGATTTGGGTGTAGAGGTTGGGGATGCAGTTTTGGATTGTGGGGCTTTCTGGGAGCTTCCCTTGGGACTCCTAGGCGGTGTAGGGACTTTCAGGGTAGTGGGGACCTGCAAATGTGCAAAGAGCTGATCCAGTTTGGAGGAGATCCCGTCAAACTTTTTTGAAAGCTCAGATTGACGGTCCTCCAGACTGCTGATCCTCTCATCCCTGTTAGCAAAATAGGACCGGTTGATATGGTCCTGCAAGAGGACGAACTCAACAATGTCCTTATTGTACGGACTGGACGTCCCACTAGCCCTGATCCGCCCCATGTTTGCAATGAGAAGTCTCCTTCTGGCCTCCTTCTGGCCGGCCTCCTCTCTCCGCCTCTTTTCCTCCTTCAGAGTTTCCACCGCTTCTGCTTGCTTTCTGAGTTTAGCCTCTTTAGCAAGCAGGGCTGCATCAAGTTCTGAAAGACGGGTCTCAGGCTTCTGTTTAGAAGCTTCGACCTTCTCAGTGTCCGACATGTTTACCAAATCCACAATACAGACAAAAGAAATAAGAAGAAAGAAAGGAAGTCAACAGGGATTGAGGCTTCTCTTCAGTACTCACCCAATCACTGCCACCTGACTGGAAGGAGAAGTTGGTTAGCATGAGCAAACAAGCGCTCAGTCCCTGCTGACTGCTTGAGGCTCAGGGGTTAGTTTAGAGCATACTCAGCAAAAACCATTTCACGATTTCCATTCACTGCCCTGGCACCCTAATTGAGTGCAACTATTTCAAATCCTGTGTCGATAAGTTATATGATGCAATCAAGGACTGATTAGTATTGATTAGTAATTAGACAGAGTGACTGATAGCGACTGACAGGTATCCACAAATGACCAAGATGTAACGATTTACTGGGTTGGTCTATTTTTAGACTTCTCCTACTGTCTCTACCATTGGATGACCCCGGTATGCCATACCCAGGGTATGGCAAAGTACAAATTTCATTGTAATTGACTCAAAACATCAAATGTGACAATGTGATTTCAGACAGACTAGATACTGAATTGCGGTTTACCAGGGACAAACAAGACTGAATTCTGATGGACAGAACCAACGTTATGACAAACCCTAGCCTGACCAAGCTCCAGCTATGGCAGCACAAAATTCAAAATTCCATTGTCACTGATAATATGCCCAAGGACCAACATCCAACTGCACCGGCAAACTGAGCGAGCAGCCCGGCTATGGCTGCCACTCGTTCTCAGCTGCGCCCAGCAGCCTGCACCCAGTGCTCATGTGCGCCCTTACTAGCCAGCGCCCAACGCCTCCCTGTTCTGGAAGCGCCCAACGCCTCCCTGTTCTGGAAGCGCCCAACGCCTCCCTGTTCTGGAAGCGGCAGCGCTGCTGCACAAGGCCTCCAGCCAGAGTGTCTGGACTGGAGGTCAAAACTTTCCTGTATGGAAAGTGGAAGCTGCCCTCGGCCTCCCCTGGCGAAACGTGCGTGGTTTCCAGTAGCTTCACGTGCTGGCGCAGTATCTGACTCCTGGGCCTGTTCCAAAAGTGGCCCGGGCCCGAAACAGTTAGGGGCGCAACCGTGCGACGTGGCATCAGCTGTTCGCTGCTGTCGCATCGGCCGACAGGCCATGTGTGACAAAGCAGCGTGCGGCATGGATTTTCAGTGCCCGGTCACGCAGGTGCCGGATTTTGCAGACCCCAGTAGGGCCTGCCAGGCTCGTGAAAATCCAGCCCGCGTGGCCCTTGGGACCGCCTGAAAGTATTAGACGCCACAACCTAGGAAAAAGGACCCCTGCGAGGGCTCACATCCTGGCATAGCCAGGGCCTGTGATCAAGGCCAGTGGTGCCTGAAATACAACTGCAGAATGCAGGCATTTTCTTGTCTCCCTAAAAGAGTGGATGCCTGTCGAGGCGATGTAACTGTGCAGCTCTCTCTCTCTCTCTCTCTCTCTCTCTCTCTCTCTCTCTCTCTCTCTCTCTCTCTCTCTCTCTCTCTCTCTCTCTCTCTCTCTCTCTGTTGTCTGTGTATGTGTGGCATGCAGTCATGGGGCACAAATTTGCAGTGTTGCATAAAAGTCATTTGCACTAAGCAGTGCTGCACGACACAACTTGAATTTATTTTTCATTGTCTGGTGCAAAAGAAATTGCACTGCACGGCTCATGACCTGCAGCGCAAATGTTTTGGGCACCCCTGCAGCACTTGCAAATTTGCACCTTCTTCTGCCAACATCACATGAATACCAATCCGTAGCATCATTGGGGCTAAACACCATGATGTCATTAATAATCATTATGGATGTGGGTGCATAGTGTAGGTTTTGAAACGCTATGAGGCTTGGTTGTTGCTCAGTGCACCGAGAGGGCCGGTTGTAAACTAAGAAGTTTTTGGATGACAGAATAAGTGGTTGGCCGTTCAGCCGATTCTACTCAAAATGAGTTGTCTCGATCTTGATGAGGTGTTTATTTTGTGTTTTATATTAGTTGGATGCACAGCCACACTCTTGGAGTTGTGTTATTTGGCCAGGAATCAAGTGAACGGATGCGGTTTGCGCTTTCGTTTCCTTTTTCTTTATCGGTGAATCGCAGGTAATCTATAGATGTTTTACAGACGCTGACGGTCAGTCACCGTTTCGTTCAGGGTTGGGCTTCGTGTGGCGAACTGCTCCCAGCTTTGCTCATCAATGCAGCCGAATGAGGACTGACGTGATGTGGCAAGAGAACTACCACAGTCTCTGACAGCCAGTTTCTGTTTCATTCAGGTTCGGCCTTCGTGTGACTGCTCCTCCCAGCTTTGCTCACCAGTGCAGCTGAATGCCTTTTAGTGTATTGCTGTTCTGTTTGAGGACTGACGTGACGTGACATGATGTGACGTGACGTGACATTATGTGATGTGACGTGACGTGATGTGATGAGAGAACTGCTACAGTCAGTGGAAGTCAGTCTATGTTTCTTTCAGGTTCATTCAGGTTTGGCCTTCGTGTGGAGAACTGCTCCTCCCAGCTTTGCCCAGTATAGATGCCTTCCGTTGTGGGCGTTCGGTTTGAGGACTGATAGAGAGTGCTGTGCTGTGGAAACTGTCGTTGGCCAGAGGAGGAGCGGGAGTTAGCGAGTGAGTGAGTGAGTGCATTGACTCTTTTGGGTGAGTTGCATTCTTAGCTCAGCTGGATAGAGCAACAACCTTCGGGGGAGCTGAGACGGTCATCAGTTGGGTGAATCGAGACCTTTACCTTCTGCAAGTGAGGCAACCTCAGGCAAGCTCTTTCTCCTGACGGTAATAGAGATGACTCTTCTGTCGAATCGAGTGCACCCGGCTGATCTCAAGCCTGGCGACCACATTTACACATGGCGGTCTTGTTATGCTTACACCTATCATGGGATCTATGTGGGAAAGGATGAAGTTGTTTTCTTCAATGGGTTTATGCACAACCTTCATATAAGCCAGCTGCACAGGATTCACTCCATCTCAGCAGGAACTGTGCACTCGTCATCGACGCCACTGAGAATCTCTGCTCCAACACCACCACACTCCGATCCCTCCATGGTCATAAAACCATTGTGCCCTTCTGCAGCGGTTTCTGCAGCATCTTCTTTGATCTCCAGCTCTGGCATGCGTTCGCCAGTAGTTTCCCTTTGTAACTCGTTGCCACCTATGCCTGCCACGCAAGTAGAGACTGCAGCACCTGCTGTGCCTGCAGTGCCCGCGACTCCTGTTGCATCTGCTGATGCCTTGTTGGTGCCTTGTGTCGCTGCCTCCCTAGCAGGTGATCCGTCCATCAGAGCGTCCACTTTGTGCACTGCTGTGCCTGCAGTGCCCGCGACTCCGGTTGCATCTGCTGATGCCTTGTCGGTGCCTTGCGTCGCTGCCTCCTTAGCAGGTGATCCGTCCATCAGAGCATCCACTTTGTGTACAACCGATATGTCACCTACCCGCTCCACTTCCTTGGACTCTTCCCCTACTTCGCGTGATGCACATCATCTAGTACTAGCTGAGCAATCAACTTGCTCACAGCCAAACACTGAGCCGGTAGCAAGGAACGAGCAAGATGCTTGTTGCGATAATGCCATGCACGAGATTGCTGCGTTAATGAAAGGCTCCGTGGTCAGGTCGAATCTGGTGCAATTTCTTCTTGGAGGAGAGCTTTATCGCTACCAGTACGGGGTTGCCCGTCTCGCCAAGGTCGTCAAACTAAGGGGCACCTGTACAATGGCCCAATCAGATCCTGCGGAAGCTGTGCTCCATCGGGCTAAATATCTTCTGCAACATCCTTTCGGGTTTGGGCCATACGATCCTCTGCGGAACAATTCAGAGGACTTTGCCTTGTATTGCAAAACAGGGTTAGTTTTCTTGCCCGATCCGGCGGCTGAGGGCGAGAAGCAGGCTCATGCTGGAGGGATGGTTGCCGTGCTGAAGAAAGCGGCTTTAGCAGCAATTAATGGTACTATTGCTGCTGTGCATTCACTGTCTGTGTCAGAGGCGATTGCACTGTTCGTGTTACACTCGTCAAAAGAGTTTGTTGCGAAAGAGGGACAGCACCATGCAAAGAACTGCACTCAAGCTTCTGCTGCTATTTCGACTATCGCGACAGTGGCATACGGAGTCGAGCACCCGATATCAATTCCATTCACGCTTGCCAAGTTCTTGTTGGAGGTGCGAGAGGAATACATCCTGAAGCACGGAATCGAATGCCTTCCGTCGACTGATGACACCGTGCACCAACCGATTCTTCTGTCAGGTAGACTGTCTGGTTCCGTACCCCCTGTCGTGGGGACAGGGGCAGAAACGTCTGATACATCTGTGAAGGGAGAGCCATTACAGCGCTCTCCTTCTTTCTCTCAGCAATGGACGACCTTTTTCGACTTTGCGTTGGACAGAGCGAAGGAGGTTTTGGAGGCCTCTGCGGATGGGTGTGGTACCTCCATAAGGAGCAGTGAAGCTGATGCCGCCATCTCAGCGATCGCTGCCCTCAAGTCATCGCACACACTTCTTGAGGCTTACATTAGGTACTTGATTCACAAGGCCACCGATTTTAGCCAATCGCAAGCAGTTCACCCGATGGATGTGGAGAAGATGGTGGGGATCCTCTCTTCCGCAAACCTCAGTTGATTTTCCTGTTCTGGTCAGTGAGTGAGTCAGTCCTTCCAATAATGCGGACTGACTGAGTTTTGATCGCGTTTTGATTGCGTTTCGATTGCGTTTCGATCACTTTTTGATTGCGTTTTGAACGCATTTTGCGGGCATAAGACAGCTTGCAATTGAGAGGGGGAGGGGGAGGGGGAGGTTCAATCGGGTTTGTGTATGGTGATGGATCACAGGAAAGGGTAGATTCCTCACTTATCGATAGGGCAGAAGGAGAGAGAGAGCGTCATGCATTACTCCAAGTATGCCCAGGGACTGTTTGTGCTAACAGCGTTTTGACGACCTTCATGTGCGTCACCTGCTCTTCATGTGGAACATGGAATCATTTTTCTCTTTTGCCTAGAAGCCTGAAATGATTTGGTTCTCCAGACCACTACATCGACAGCAGCGATGAACTTCACAGTTGGGCGCTTGTGGAAGTGGGGTCTATTCACATGGCAGCAGGCAGCCGGCTCGTGACCGACAACATTGTTCGATTTCTATATGTTATCCTCTTCTGTTATCATTTATAAGTTATAACTCTTTTTCTGTTATCATTTATAACTCTTTTTCGGTTAGGTTGAGTTCCTTGGTCCGGGCCGCAGAAGAAAGAAAGTGGTAGCCTTCACTACCTTATTTCTTTAGGTAGTGGAGAAGAAACAGAGTTAGCTGATAGTAGTTAGGTTCTTTAGGTGATGGAGAGGAAAGAGAGGTAGGTGATAGTAGTTAGGCTCTTTTCAGGCGATGGAGAAGAAAGAGAGGTAGGTGATAGTAGTTAGGCTCTTTTTAGGTGATGGAGAAGAAATAGAGGTAGGTGATTGTAGTTAAGTTCTTTTTAGGTGATGGAGAAGAAAGCCTTCAGTGCTTAGTTTCTTGGTGTGACGGTAGTCTTCGCTAAGTTCCTTTAGGCGATGGGAGGCTTTGCTCTGCATAGTCCCTGGCTAGGGAGTTATGACATGACATGGCTCACTTTCTACGCGCTTGATTCTAGCTCGTGGTTAGTGTTTACCACTCTGGTTAGTGCTTGGGTGTGCGCATGTGGCAGATGAAAGAGAGCTGATAGTACTGGAGGCTGGCATGATCCTCGAGCTCACGGGGTTGGTATTTGCTGAGGCCGTACTGAGAAATCCTCTGTGGACGTGGAATGAGGCTATAATGTAGCTGCCTTGTCTCTCTTCCGTTGGCTATACTCCGGGTCCTATGTTTGATCTGTATACTCTGCTGCCATATAGCATAATTTAGCCGCTTCATTCATCAGAGTGGTGGCACAGGGGACACATCCTTCTGCTGTTGATTTGTCCCAAGTCCTTAGGTGCGGAGGAAGACTCCTCTCTCTCCCTCTCTCTCTCTCTCTCTCTCTCTCTCTCTCTCTCTCTCTCTCTCTCTCTCTCTCTCTCTCTCTCTCTCTCTCTCTCTCTCCTTGCAGATGCACCAGTATACCAGGGAGGTGCAGTTTGGATGCGTAGCAGACAGCGTGGAACCGGTTGAATTCATTTACACATGGCACCGGGGTAGTTTAGCCTACGGCGGCCAATGGGGATTTAAATTCAACTAATAGTAATTTAAATTATTAATACGAATTATAAATTATAATTTATATTTCAATTAATGTATCAAGATAGTGATATGAAGGAATACTTCCTTGAAATTTTCTTGCATTCAATTTGACCGACTATGGGGGTACTCACGCAAGGACTTTTTCGGCTGAATGTGGACTACATTACTGGAGGATGCGTCAAGGGGACTGTCCTGATCTGTGAGTATGATGTGAGTGCTCTGCTTTGTGAAGGTTGTCTTGTGAACTGCGTGTAGCTGTGTAGATGACCTTTCATGACATAAACAGCCCCCTCTTAAATGATGACAGAAAACCTAAAGGGGGTATAAGGGGATGCCATTTTTTAGGTTGGGGTGTGGTACACGGCCGTTGCCCACCCTTTACCCCCTTTAGGTTTTCTGTCATCATTTAAAACCCTGGGTAATGCACCTTTTTAGGCTTTTTTTTTTTTTTTTGTTTCCTTTGAACTTGGTAGTCCAGCCTAAAAGCTGTGAAGAGGGTAGGGGAGTCCTTCTGGTGTTACACAGGGGTCCCCTTTAAGGCTTTAGACCTTCCTTTCATTTACAGTATAGGGTTGAATAGCTTGAACTATACATACAGCTTAGTTAGATAGACTTTTTTCTTAGCCATAGCCTCTTCGGTTGGGATGTGGATCCACGAGATCGATCATCCTGAGATAGTAGGGGTGACAGCGATGGTTGGTTGGGGGTCATTATTGATTTACGGGAACGACAGCTCCCACCATTAGATGGTGGCCCCTAGATTGTCAGCCCTTGATTGTCAACGTAGAGGATGGTCGCTCAGGGACCCCTAGCTTGAGTTCGAGAATGATAGGTGCCGTCATTCGGGTATGCTGTGGGCTATCGGTGTTTGTTTCCAGATGTTCTTTTCGGAATTTAGTATGTTGCAAATTTTTACTATTTTACGGCTTAGTGAGCCTGGCTTTTTTTTTTTTTTTTTTTTTTTTTGGGTTAAAGGTTAATTAGTGACCTTGTTTATTCGTTAGCAGAAAGAATTTTCAATTTTCAGATGCACATACTCAAAGAACTGTAGGCGTGGATCAGGTTTTGTCTGTTCCCGTGACGTCTTGGGCAAAGTCGTCGAGAACATGGTTGGACCGAAAAAGTTTTGCCAGCATGGATATACCGTAGAAAATAAAGATTTCCCCTTTTCTCTCTATTTCTTTCTTAGAAGATAAGATTTCCATTCAATATATAGAGTAGGGATTCATAGGGAACTCAGGGACCTAAGTTCTCAAGTGCCTATTAAGTGGGCCCCTGTAGAAGATGCTCTGTTGAGGTGCCATACCTGGGACCTTATAAATTTGGCAGGTGTTGCCTTGCCTACTTCATCTCTCTCTCTCTCTCTCTCTCTCTCTCTCTCTCTCTCTCTCTCTCTCTCTCTCTCTCTCTCTCTCTCTC